ATGACCTGCAGCTTGTGGAGGGAGGTGCCGGGAAGGCCGGCGAGGAGAGAGTTCCCATAGTCCAGCCTTGAGGTGATAAAGGCGTGGACCAGAGTTTCAGCAGAGTGAGGGGTGAGGTAGTGCCGTAGTCTGGCGATGTTCCGGAGGTGATGGAAGGCGGTGCCAGTTGTGGCGCGGATATGAGGGAGAAAGGACAGCTCAGGGTCGAACAGAACCCCGAGGTTCCTGACTGGCTTTGAGAGGTGGTGAGTGCAGCCTTGGATGCTGATGCTGTCAGCGCAGAGGTGCGGAGGCGCTGACGTGAGCCAATCAGGAGGGCCTCAGTTTTACGCACGTTGAGCTGAAGAAAGTTGTCTCTCGTCCAGTAAACAGAGGTAGGTGGAATAAGAGAACTTGCCCAACGTTTCGACCTGCAGCAAATCGAACCCAGGTCTCTCATTTGTGAGGCGAGTGCTCTAATCGCTGAGCTTGATTGCAGGAACTAGTTGGGAAGTACTTAAAGCACACTTCACAGAATAGAATCAAAAGGTAAAAATTTGTTCAAGTCACCCTGTGACTCAGAAAATTTAAAACATCACTTCTGTGGCTGTTTGACTTCCAAAGGTGGAGTCTATAAATGTGTGTAATGCAAAATACTTTATTTTCTTCAAAATAACATAACTGAATTTCAGTGAGATAGCCATTATAACAATTGGTGTGTTTTTAGGTATACTCTCCTATGTAGGTATTGATGTATTCCTTGTACGTATGAGATGGTTTTGTATGAGATCAGCATAAGATGTAAGGAAGACAAAATACTGCAGTTCCCATGCTAATTGCACAGCCAAGTGGCAAACGCCATTTGCTGCATCTGCCCACTGCAAGTACAGTGTTTGCTGGAGGACTAACTTACTTGATCATGGAGCAAAATCAGCCCCATGACTCTCAAAAGATTTTAGAGATTGGTTATTTGATCAGATCATTTTTCTTTGTTTTCTCAAGGGCTTTTTTTTTTCTCTCTTATGCCATGATTGTGTGCTCTACTCAAGATGATGTGCAGAATTTCTAACCGATTGTGGGAAGTTGTTGGGAAGTACCTAAAGCAGACTTCACGGAATAGAAACTCAAGTTGTTGTTGTTGTTACTGCTAGTATTAGAATAATCCAGTGTTTTGTGGCACAATGAGAACACTTTGAGGTAATGGACCTTCAATTATTAATTGTCGCAAAACAGCAGGTAAGTATAAAAATAGTAGATAATCTCTCATTAACAAGCAATTACATTATCAAAATTGGAAAAAAAATCCCTCAGCATTTAATGACGTGCTACTCAGCTACTGTATTGGAAAGGGTTGCTTTCAGATACCTGCAGTTAACACAATTGTTTTCTAGATGAAAGATAATTGTATGGAAAAATGCCTAAAGGCAACATTAGTCATAAACATTTTCTTTGCCTCTGGAGTGCCCTTTGCTGTTGTTTGATGTTGGTTAGTGACAGCTGAAACCCAGCAATAATGTGATGTTACTGAGAATAATCTACCAACCATTTTATAGTCTAATCTGAAGCTGCTCAGAGCCAAAGCGTGACATTAATTGATTACCTGAAATTACCTCATCTATTCGTAGTTTAATTTCCCTTAACCTTTTTGCTGCTGGCTGGTAATAAGTAAAACCAATTAAATCAAGACTGAAGCAGCATGGTAACAAACATATTACTTCAATGCACAAACAAGAGTTCAGTGACAGTTATTGCTTCTAATGCTGATCATGTGGTTAGTTAACAAACCTAATGGTTGTTATTCACAAAGCTGTGTTCTTTGGTCATGCTGTGAAGTGTTAAAACTTTGTAAAGACAAATTTTAGTTCCATTTAGCACACCATCTTTTTAGATGCTTGTTTTCAGGATATTGGTTAATTAGTCGATTCAAAGGAAACAGTGTTCATTAGAAGGAGGGGAGTAGTGGGATGTCTCCAGAGTAAACGCTAAGCACTCTTTTGTTTCTTAGTGTATGTAAATGAATTGGAAGTGGAGATGGAAGTTGATAAAATTTCTTGTTTTTTATTAAATTGGTGTGTTACAACTACTATTAATAATAATCCTTATATTTGGTACAGCGACTCATGTGGGAAGGAAGTCCCAAAACGCTTCACAGGTTATACTATAAAGTGGAGTGAAGGTGCATTTTGTGGGCGAATAAAATTAAATTGGTTGGAACGGTGTGTTTTGGGGGGCAAACATTTGTGCAATGTCCCACAAATAGCCATGAAGTGAATGAACAATTTTATTTGGGCATTGTTGGCCAGGAGACCGTGAGAAGCTCGACAGATGTGGGGCTTGAAAGAATTTTGGGAGTCAGCCACTGAGGTTCCTTACCAGTTCAGTGAGGGGGAATGTGTATCAATGCAGGTTGATGTTGTCAGTGTTTGTAGTGAGAAGGTGTTAATGGCCTCTGTCTTATCAATATTAAGTTGAAGAAAATCAGAGCTCATCCAGTACTTGATGTCTAACAGTAATCAGCCAGAACAGCCTAGAGTGGATGAGAACAGACAGGCAGACAGGTAGAGTTGGGTTTCACCTGCATAAATGTGAAAGTGAACCCCATGTCTGCGGATTATGTTGTCGAGAGGGAGCTTATATATAATAAAAAGGATAGGACCCAGAATAGAGCATTGATGATTGCTCCATGTGACTGGGGGGGTGGGTGGGAGGCAAAGCAGAAGAAGCCTTTTAAACAGACAAACCAGAGATGCTCCAATGGGTAAAAGCGATGATAGGACAGGCCCATCAAGATAGAGTAGAGAGGAAAGACGCGGGAGGATAAAGTGATGACAGTGTCAAATGTGGCAGAGAGATCGAGAAGATATGAATAAGAATAAGTTGTATTTATATCGTTGTTTTCACACAACTTTAGAAAATATATAATTGATTAGAAAGGAAGTTAATGTTATAATGACAAACAGCATTTAAATTACAGCAGCAACAGCTCATAAATGACAATGAGATGAGCAGCCAATTCATTTGATATTTGGGGGTAAATTTAGTTTAGGAAGAAAATATAAAGCAGGAGAAACACTCCACAATGTATCTCTGCATAATAAGTACTAACTAGCATTTATGGAATTCTGAATCAATTAAGCAGATAAGCCAAGCATAGCATGTTGGATTTTAATGTAGATAAATGCAAGGTAATGTGTTTTTGAACAAAAAACTGTAAATTGTGTACAGAGTGAAAGGGTGTCAATTAACAGGAGAGAAGGAAAAGGATTTAAATCTGGTTATTGATCATTCAGTGAAGGTTTCCAGATGATGTGAAGCTGCTGTCAACAAAGGTAATAAACCCTGTGTTAGGTTGCAGTTGTCAAAGTCAAAAGAAATTATTCTAACCTTAGATAAATCATTGGTGGGGCCACATTTGGAATATTATGTGCAGTTTTGAATATCCTATCTTCAAACAACGGGAAAAACAACAACTTGCATTTATGTAGCGTTCTTCACATGTCTCTAAGCACTTCACACTGAAGAGCTCGGACCACATAGAGTTCCATAGGGTAAGAGTGTAGTAGCTGAAGGCTTGACCACTGATGCAAGCCTGAGGTAGCTGAGAGGAATGAGGAGATAGGGAGTGGGGAATGAGGAGATAGGCAGGTCCAGAACCTGAAAGGATTTGGAGATGATAGTGAGGACCATGAAGTCAATCTTGAGACTCCCTCCCAATGTGTGAAGCACTATATCAAATGCAAGAATTACTGTTCTTAAAAGTTTTGGATGCTCCGATCGCAGCTCAGGTGCTATCTGCTACTCAACTGAGAATTGGGTGATTCAGAAGAGATGGCAGATAAGATGTGGGAGCTTCCTGGTCTGCTTGGTCTAGTTTGACTGGGCAGTCTACTTATTCACTGAGTAGTGGGGAAACTACTGTAGTATTTTTTAGTGGGAATTGAAGCTCAAAGAGCAAGCAATAAGGCAATTGTGTACATTTAAAGTGTTGCAAACAAATTAGAATGTACAAATATAGAGCATTGCAGACTTGAACATTAACTTGATTTTAGATTGGATTAGACAGTAATGATCCATTAGTAAGTAATACAATCTGCAACTTGTTTATTGGTATTTTCTATTCAATTGTAAATTGACTTCCTAAATACAATGAGTGAATGCGAATAATACTCTAAAGCAGTACTACATTTCAACATAGATATGTGAAAGCAGAGAACTGGTACACATTTGTTTGATTATAGTTTTCATTTTAGAATTGAATGGAATCATATATATGTTTTCTGGAACTATGATTAAAAAAAAATAAGGCATTGAGCATTATTAACAAGAAAGGATCAGAGCACACCAAATTATTTCTTCCAGATTTATTTTTCCTTCCTTTTTTTAATCATGACCTAGTGAGAGAACTAGTGCGTGAATCTCTGCCAGTTATTGTCATATAGCAAATGTTTTTTTATGCATTTAATATTTTTTAAAATGAAGGGTGTTGGAGTTCATTTCAAAATGATTTGATTCTGCAATGGGAAGATGATAGGGTCAGAATTCTGGAAGGATGAGATCAAATTGGACCAAAAGGCTTTCTTCATCCATAGTAATCTTGTGATGAGTTGCCTTTATGACTCTTGATTGTCCCTTCCTCCCTGTGGAGAATTCCTTTGATGACGCATTTGAGATTGGGAAATCGTAATCCTGTATGAGTACTCATGCCAAGCTACTCTTGAGTCTATCATGCTGGAATAGGAACACCAACATGCATACTATACTACTGAAACAGCTGAATATTTGAGCAAATATTATGAAAATATTATGTAGCTACTTAATTTGATTTGTTACTGAAACATTTTATGTACTGGTTATTGAATACAAAAATGGAGCAAAATCAATTCAGCAACATCAATGGTAGTTATACACTGCAACAGCAAATTTGAAGAAAGGTTAACAACTGCTGACATCTTATTCCAAACACTGTTAAGTTGCAATTTAAGCTATTTGTTCAACACTGAATTTTCTTAACTGCTATGTACCCATCTCTCAACCGTGGAGGAGAAGCCAGTGTGGAAGGAGTTCTCAATCAACTGGTGCAGGAACACTTGCAGTTAGCTCCTCTGCAGTGGGGTGAGTAAAAGCAATCCTGATCTGCAAAGCTGAGACCAGCCAATCTGGTTAAGGAATCTAGAAATGTTCCATGGTTTTAATATCCAAATGTTTTTGAAGATTTTATTGGTTTGTGTACCTTTTGTCCTCAGCTGGTAATGATTTATAATTTAAAAGCGTGTTCACTTGAAAGGGAACCTTTCAGGTGAAGTCAAATGTGCAATTGGTATTTGGCTTTTGAGAACAAACTATCCAGTTGGTTCAGAGTTTAATTGGATTACGTATGGAATCATGTCAATCCTCTGTCTGTGGGTAGAGAAGTATGAAGAAACGGGTTCAATATCCGGGATGAACAAATATCAAGAATGCCACATTGAAACAAAAAAGGGGCTTTTTTTTGTTTCACATTTGATGAGGAAGAACCAGGTCAGATGAAGTGGATGCTGATACAATGTATGGGATGTAATTTTGATTTACCAAATGGCTCTGATTTGTGTTGTGCTTTTGATGGCTTGAATTACTCATAGTCTAATCTCTGACAAACATACAACAGTACATTCTTTGCCAAACTACAGTATTAACATAATAATGAAGGATTATGATGCAGCTTTCTGAACTCCAGAATAACTTGCATAATGTTAACAGCTGAAATCTAGTGAAAATAAGTATTGTGTTAGAGTGCAACTTGTTTCCAGTTTGTGGTGGGGGGTATTTTGGGAAATGCCATTAAAAAGCTGCTTCTTTTGAGAATTTGTAACTTTGCTTGATGTAATACTGAGCAATGAAATGATGTGCAACCTATAGAAGATAAAATCAAATTAGCAGATTTAGGAATTGCAATACTGAAAGTAGCTGGAGCTGGGCGTTGGCGATTTGTGGAATGAGAAGAGAAGCAGTAAGATGGATCAATTCATAGATAAATGAAAAGGGTAATATTTGAAGTCGTACAGAGTGGCTGATGCAGTCCCACAAGGACTTGTTCCTTCAACTCGATTTTGCATTTTTGTAAATGTTATAGATAAGGTAATCAGAAAAAGAACAGCAAGTATGTTGACAAAGTAAAATTATAGACTAGTAAAATTTGTAATATTGGTAGATGCTATTCAAAGGAATATGAATGAGTTCAACATTTGGCCTAATGGTGCACAAATATTACCATCATTAAATGCCAAATAACACACATTGTTGTACACGGAGTTCACTTAGATGATTGTGGAGTGGTTGAAGAAAACCTTTAAAAATGGCCTACTGTAGGAACTGGTGAATGAGACTGCAATTATATCAGGAGATTAGTCTGTGGATCCATCAAGTAGAAAGATGCTGAATGAGGGTGTAGGGAAGTATCTATCGCATGTCTAGGTGGAGAAAATCCTGCAAAGTATTTTGAGAAATGGAGAATTAGAGGCTAAAAGCAGATGGTAGGTGTATGGAAGAATAATCCATAAACTGAGGTAAACTTGATGGGGGCGGACCAGTGATCTTTTTGTATGAACTGTTGAAATTGACCATTCCAAGTTGGTGTTAATTTGAATAGTATTGTAATGATTTTTATTTGTATGAGGAAAAAAAAGAACCCTCGTGGCATGCAAAGGAAAATGAATTTCTGTCTGGTAAAGATTTTAAAAAGAGCAAAAATAATATGGTTTACATTTCTATTAATAATAATAATCCTTACAATTTGATATCATGCCTTTATCACATCTTCTAGATGTCTCAAAGCCCTTCACAGAATATACTGTAAAGTGAATTGATTGTATATTTTGTTTGCAAAACAAAATTATAACATTTCTATTTGTGCTTTGGTAAATTTCTAACTTTCATTAATGAAACTAATAGCATAAGTTGAATTGTTGTTTGAGTTGGCAAGAACTCAGAATGGTAAACGGTGTAACATCGCTGATACAATTTGAAGTACTAACTGGAAGAGTGCAATTGGTAATTGAGTCCTTCCATAACCTTGCCCCACCTCCAAATTCCTGCGATACTCCTGCCCTGATGGCTCCATCTGCTCAGCAAACACCAGCCTGCTTTATGTATCCTACCAGATCCACTTCACTATCGATGGGAGAACTTTTAACCACTCTGCCCCTGCTTTCTGAAACTCTATCTCGGAGTCCTTCCACCTTACCCTCTTCCTCCCCACCTTGAAAACCTGCCCTAAACCCTATATACCTTTCTGATTACCTTCAGCCACCTCTACACTCCCCAAGCTCAGGCTCTCAGTAAGCGACGGGGGGACACTTTGAAACCTCTTCCGAAAGTGAAAGGCACTCTATGAATGTAAATGATTGTGGTGCTGTTATACGTTGTGTATAATGTGTATCTGATAATAGTTACCAGTTATGAACAGAACAATATCTATGTTAATATTATAAATGAAAGTGGATAAAGCACTGAATTTGATCCAGGGATTTACAGTATCTCACAAGATAATGTATTGCTGATGTATATCTGCTGAACTTTCTGATTCATATAAATTAGTATTTTATTCAGAAAGAATCATTGATGGGATTGAGTGCACTTCAGCAACAATTATAAAAAGGTCAACTAAGACAAGATCTCAGCTTTAAATTATAAAATATTTCAACCACACAGGGTATTTCCCAGCAAGAATTTCTACATTCTTATTTGAAGAGATTTGTATTTGATAACATTAATATCAAAACTTTTATCCATCTGCCCTAGTCTGGGTCAAACAGGACAATTAAATTAAGCATTACATTAAACAAAGTATTGTACAGTTATAAATTTAAATAGAAGTAGATAGATGTCAATCTGTAGGGACATAATTTACTGTATTAGATGTATGATGTTTCAGCGGAGTATCAGGTCATGGTTAATTGGTAAATGTGAAGTTTTTTTGCATGCTGAGTTCAGTGACTTGTACTGCTGAATGCTTGGAATTATTTTACTTATTCTGTTTTGGTATATTCAAGATAATATAATTTATGGGCTTATGGTTCTGTGTTGGACTGATACTCTAGGAGAGGCTAGAGAAGTTAGGATTATTCTACTATTTCCACTCGCAGGTGGGTCGGGAATTCAAGGACACCGATTTAAAATAGCTGTTAAAACGAAACAGGGGAGGTGAGGAGAAATCTTTTCACACAACGAGTTGTTCGGATCTGGAATGCATTGCCTGAATGAGTAGTGGAAGACGATTCGATAGCAACTTTTAAGAGAGAAGTAGATAATTATTTGGGGAGGGCAAGTTTACAGGGCTATGGGGACAGAGCAGGACAGTGGGATTGAATTGGATAGCTCTTTTTAAAGAGCCGGCACAGGCAAGATGAGCCAAATGGCCTATGATTCTATAATTGAAAGGGCTTTTGCGCCTTTTTATATCAAATGTTTCTATTGCATTCAGAGCCTGTTATTGGCAACAGTATATCGATTAGTCAAACTGATATTTGCAGAAGTGATCATCAATGCAGATAAGATGGTCGTTTTGTCATTGAGATCTCTTATTTATACAGTAAAACATGGGTTCGTGCCTGGGATTCGCCACATGCTACGTTTCTGATTTCAGTGGGACTATGTGTGAATAGGCTCAGTTCTCATGCCTCCTTCATTTTGGAAGCCATTAGAACTCTGATTCTATCCAGACCTAACCTACATCCAAGTATAGGATTAGGAGGATATGAACACATTAAATCAGTGGGACATTTCTCCTTCCGAATCATAACTAAGGGCATTTAATTCAGTATAAATAGGATTGAACCTTGGACCTTCCCCGTCGGTGTGATTTCGTGCTACATCAGGTGGTACATTTAAGCTACTGAACTGTATCTTTTTTCAGCATTCCTCTCCAAAACTAATCTTACATTTTTGGTATTAAAAAATCATAAGAACATGATCTACAGCTGGGAACTCTCGGCATTATTCCCACTTCCGTGCTTGGCCCCGAGAAGATGCTAGGTGGTGGTGTAATACAGCTATGCAGAATGGGCATGAGCTGCAACAAGTTGCTTGTGAGATGATTTTAAATGAACTCAATACTGTGACTTATTCTGGGCCTAAAAGTCCATGTTTCAGCACTCCAGAGCAAAAAATGTTGATCAACATTCACAAGTCAAATCACTTTTATTTTTAGGTATTCTTGTTATTTACACATTGCAACATCTGAAAAATGTTGTGGTTAACAGTTAGAATTTTTAGTCGCATTCAAGTTGCTTTTGTATAAAGATTGTTATTGGTGTGAAACTAAGCTAATTAAGAATTAAACACTGAATAACTCAGCAGCAACTGTAAAATAAAGGTGCTTTGTAACCTGTAAGAATTGCACAATATGCTACCGCAGTACAGTGAGAGAATACTGTGGTAACATATTGTGCAAACTAAACTGGTTGCTCCATGACTAAGTAAAGGTCATTGATTTTCCTTCACTCTTTCATTCAAATCTCTTGTATTTAAACTCTTCATATTGGTTGTGAACCACTGTGACTTCAGCAAAATGAAAAAAAAGTGACAATATGTGTTAGAAAACTCCATTTTAAGGTATATCTTATAATAGTTTACCTTAGGCTAATTTGTATTGATAAACCACTTAGCAAATTTATGATTTCATTAGAATCCTTGAAGGTCTGGGATAATCTGTAACCTTAAAAGATGTACCTTAAAATGTAATACATTTATTTTGTGTTCATTTTGCTGAGGTCAAGGTGGCACAGAGCCAAGCAAAAGAGTTTAAATACAAGAAGCAGACCTTTTGTTTTCCTGACAGTATACTGCTGACTCTGGTGGTAGAAGAATGTGTCTTAAAGCTTTATTTCCTTTACAGCTGGAGTTTTTGTTGGCAGCCCCAACTTTGAACTCCACACTGTAAAATGAATGAGGCAACGCTGCTGCCTCTAATGGTGTCAAGACCTACCCGAAGAGCATCCAACAAAAGTTCCAAAAGCTAGAAATGTAATCGCGTATGCAACTTTCAAACAACTTTGTTTGTACACGCTTCCACATTCATGGTTGTCTGCATGTTAATTCTGATGCTTTGGAATCCATCCCACAATGTAAATAGGGGC